GGGGGGGGGGGGGGACAAATGATAAAAAAATATTTTGGCGCTAATCATAATTTGTTAGTTGGTCACCACCGAGGAGCTGACGTGGAGAACGAAGGCTAGGTCATCCCCGCCTCTCAGTAGCAATATGGGAGGAGCAATGGCCTACCAGCTCTTGCAAACAACAATCCATGAGAGGTCGTTTGGGCCGATCTAGTCAGTCACCACAAGCAGTGGTCCTCGGGCTACCACTCAGATATTCTCCCATTCGGTCAACCTTCATGGATAGCAACACGTAGGGGGCCATTCGGGCCTGTCGGCCATGTGGGCAAAATGCCAAAGAAGGGCATTACAATGATTATGGTCGATCCCCTCAACTGCCCAAGTATAAAAGCCGACCTTGGTGCTTACATAGGGGTCAGACCTCTCTCACCGAAAAGACTCTATGCCCACATAACTCCTAAATACTAATTTAAACATTGGAGGGGTTAAGTTGAGAAATTTCCTTCGATATCGACCTTTGTGCAAAACCCTTGAGGAGACTAGAAACCACCTCGACCCAGTCTCGGGACCACCTCGGCGCTATGTCAACCGCCCCATCAAACTGTTACGAGGGTTGTTTGGATGACTTCGCGCCTTTGGGTCAATCTCAACTCTCGGTCAATGGCTTTAAGACCACAACAAGTGAGGTGTGCAAGGATGAGTTTGCTAAGGTTCGATAGAATCTATAGGGATGGTTGTGGCGACCCCTATGCTCCCTCTTTCTCATGTGAGGTCCATAAATGATGATGTTGGCCGCCAATGAATGTGAATGAACGAGGACAACAAGGGTGAGGTAACGGATCCAATGAGGGCCAAGGGTAGAGGTGGAGGCAACGATAAATCCGACAAAATAAAGGGGCGGGGAGACGATGGCGGATATGGTTCAGGGCGGAGGCGAAGGTAGGCGGACGAGTACTAAGGGCAAAATTATTATTAAAAAAAAAACTCGTTCCATGAAAATTTCTTAAACATTAATATTATTTTTAAAATTCATATATATGTATATTATTAATTTTGAATAAATACATGTATAAGTATATGTAAGTATATAATTTTAACAAAAAGGACGAACGGTGATAAGTAAATATTTCAGGTTTTTAGATGCAAAAAATCAATTATTTATCGACTTCACATGTTCAAGGTTATTATAAAATGGTTTCTATGTATTCGGGCCTACACACAAAAAAAAAAAAATCCACTTTTTGTGTTTTTCTTGTTCTTTTATCATTTCTTTCGATGAATCGCTGGTGGCGGGCGCAGCGGAGGAAACGAGAGAAAGGGGCGATTCGCGAGCATTGATTTCTAGGGTTTTTATCAGCCTCTCTCCCCCGCTTCAAATGGTACCAGACATTGTGCGATAGACGCTTGACCGATGGTTTGGTGTCTGTATCCCGTCGATCCCGTTCGAGGTACCTCTTCTTCACTCAACAATTGCCCGCTGTTTCGATTTTCTCATATCTACGACCTATTGTTTTCGTGTTTCTTTTTCCTTCTTGTGCTTCGCTCAGTTTTTTTTTTCCCATTTTTGTTCGAAACTCAGCATTTTTTGTGTTTATTAGCTCACGTCTTTGTCTTCGGTTCTTGGTCTGGCAGGTGCCCAGAAGTACTACATCTTCTCAATAGGAACATACAAAATTGGTCGAAAAGGTCAGAACTTCTTATTTCCCTTTTCTTGTGACGATCATTTAGGGTTTAGGGTTTAAGGTTTGAGGGGCATCACCTCCTGTTATGTATTTACTCGTTCAGTGAGGTCCAGAAGTTAATGTAGGATTCAACAGTTCTACTGCTAATTTTGCTTTCAAGAAGGCTCAAAACAGATCACTCTTGTATATACAACCGTTTCCCAACCCTAACTGTGGTAGCACCAGTGTCGTACGAACATAGATGCTGATATCAGCAGTAGTACAATCTTTCTTGTTTGTGTAATTTACAATTTATTTGCTTGCTTGATGCTGATCTTCTCAAGAAGTGAATTTTTGCAGTGCCATTGATGCACCATTGCATTTGTGTAAGTCACGCATTGGCTGCAAAATCATCTTGTACTGCATATTTTATTGCATTTTTATAGTGGCAATTCTTCTTTATAGATTGTGATGTGGTTGTTCAAACGGACACGTCGATTTCTCGAGTTCATGCCGAGATTGTTCTTGATAAAATGATTTCTCAAGATCCCTCCGGAAGCATGATCTCCAGTGGTTTCTCGGGTGTTCGTATAATAGATCGATCGAAATTTGGCACAGTTGTTAACAAAGAACTGGGGGCTGATGCAACTCGTTTGAAGAAAAACCAGGAAGCGATGCTGAAGGATGGGAACTTTGTTACTTTTGGAACTGGCAGTGCAACTTTCAGGTGAATGATCCTTCTAATTGTGATTAACACCATCCTACTGGATTGATTCTGTCTTGATCTGTTTGACACCAATAACGTCTATGTTGTGTGTCCATTTAAATATAGTGTGTCTACTAATACTAACGTTTTCTGATGTGGCTGGTGTTTTGGCAGGTTATCTTATGTTCCTTTTGTCATTTTTTCCCGTTCTGTGAATACGAGCCCACTGAATCCAATGATTCAGGCTACAATTTTAGCTATTGGTTTGTATACAATTCTTAAAGCATGTTTTCTTACTGAATTTAGCTGCAAGAGTACACTATTATCTTGTCTTAGTGTTAAGGCTTGTTAGGTTCTTTTAAACAAGAAGTGTACAACACTGTACTCTTAGCATGATTCTTTAAGTTCAATTAAAATTTTTGGAAACAGTTTGCAGTAAGCATGCTTGCTACCTTGTGAAGGGTGATTTATTCTTGATGAGATTTGTCTTCTCGTTCATTACTACAAAATTCGTTGCATACTCTCTATTAGTAAACAAATTTTAGAATTGTCAATAATATAATTTGCATTCCCCATAGTTACCTTCATTTCATATTTTGTTGTTGTTTACATTGCTCAAAAAATTCAAATGTACCTGGCCAAGCTAGTAAATGTACCACTTCCATTAGTTTGTTTTGTTAATTACTTGTTCGCTAGCAGTTATACCTCTATGCCTCATCATGAGCTATTTGTATTTAGTTGGTAATGTGAATGTCTTAGTATTAATATTATTCAGCACATATGAAGGACAAATCTCATCAGTTGTTTCTTGTCTACAGTGTTTGTATAGAAAATTTTCCTAATTTCTCCCAACCTATCATAGTTGATTACTTAGTTGCAAAAACATAACTCAAAATAGATTACTCTGTTATGACATTGGAGTACATATTCTTTCTACCTTTTCCTTTCTTTATCACCCTCTTGTGTGCACACATAGTTGGGTGCAGGCACATATTTATGCTTTTGTTTGGATTGCAGATTGATGTACTTGGGCGTGTTGGATTCTCCAAATAACAAAATATCTATGAAAATGTGAAGTGACTGCCTTAGTTACAATGTCTTTTGAAGTTGGAACTTTTGTTGTAAAGACTGCTTTAATGATTCATATAGAGTTTTGCTGGTCATGAATCTTATGCCATGCTGAGCTGTCAAGACACAACCTTGTTGAGTTGATTATCTTTTACTACTTAGCATGAGGCTTGTGCCACTCCAAGCCTACCAAAAGTTCCTGTCTATCAGAGTCTAGAATGATACATTATGCAATATGGGATTCTTGTTCTGATGTGGAAATCCTTTGTTTTTTTTTAAAGCAGAATTTCTATCCACTTTTATGAATTGCTATCTGTAGGTTAATGTAACCTCTTTTGTTAAGATTCTTCTCTAGATTGTTTTTGTGCATGTGGGGCACTTGAGGGTTCTTATTGAACTACTTTGTTTGTTGATCACATTAATTGTTCAATTCCTCCTTTAAAAGGTGCATATCTGACCAGTAGCTGGAGCCCAGAGTGTACACATGTTCTTGTTGAAAAATCTTCTCCAGTAACAATTGAGCTCATTCAAGCAGTCTTGGCTAGGAAACCCATTATCCTTGGTGATTGGTTTAAGGTATTTCATGCTATTATTGTGATTACGGTGCTATAAGAATATGTCTGGCATAGCACTGGTTTTCATAGTATCTGATTTTTGTTATTTTTTTGGAGTTTGCAAATTCTTTAAAGTGGGGTAACTAGATTTGAGCAGTGGTTCTCAGACCCACTTTATTAAATGCCCAGTCGAACACCTGCATGTTTAATAAAAAATTAGATAAATATATCATATGTTCTTTATATGGGCCACATCAAAGGGGTCGGGTGGTATTGGAAGGAACATTTAACCATATCGGGGAAGTGTCTTTTTGATCGGGTGTTTGACAAAGTTGTTGTAAAAAGCATATCTTGATGGAAAGTAGGGATTGATTTGATGTCTAACATATCAGTTTAGTGGCAAATTTCATATCCTTACACATGCTTTGTCGTCGATGGAGCCCACTAGTCTATAAACTTGGGATTGTAGTAGTAACAAATATGTTGCATAATAGTGCAGTTATGGTTGTTATTCTTGAGTGGGTTTTCTTGCTTAATATACATGTTGAACAATGCTTATACTTTTGTTAGTTAGAGATGTCTAATTCATTACATGTGATGCAATTAAAATAACTTATTTTTTGCATGTAAATGAGTAAATTGGGTTGCAATGCCCTCGCTATGACATGTGACACAGTTCTGTATTGTCCCATGTCCATTACACATTCTTAGTTAAATGCATAGGAATGTGCCCATTATTGCGTGTTAGGAGGATGCAGCATAGCTGGCACAAAAATCACTGGTAAATCATACTTAGTTTGGCATGCTTCTAAATTTTCCTTCTCTGGAAGCATATTTTGGTTTAGCGTTCTACCTTGTACAATTCTTTGCATCTTCTTGCTACAGTTGTGTGATGGGGAATCTGTAACAGCTTGTGTACGTGAGTGTTGTAGATTAAACTACAAAATGTGCAGCCAAGTGCACAAGGTTCCTACACTTGGTGTTTGAGGAGACCCATCTGGGCACTGCCTTAACTCTGTGTTGAGAGGGATTGTTTTACGAACTGGGTTAATTTCGATGTATGGAATCCATGTGACAATAGAAGAATCCTTGTAGTTTTGCCAAGACCCACTTTCAGTGTTATATTATCCAACTGTTTAAGGATACTAGGTGGTTAACAATGTGCAAGCACTTCTGCTTCTCTTATTATTATTATTATGAATCATCAGTTTTGAACTTTAGGATATTCACCCAAATCAAACAGTATTAATCAAGTTAAACATGTTGAACATGTGATTTTCAGCCTACCATGTTAACTTTGTTGTGTTCAAATCATATTAATGGGTTTATTAATATGTTTTTGAAGTATTACAGGTTGTGTAGGTAGTCAAATAGCTTTGAAGTTGTGTTCACTATGTCATCCTTTACCCAAATCAGACTGACTTATCTATTAAGTGGGTTGTATATTCTTCAGGTTCAACATGTTTGTTCTAGCACATGCAACTCCACCTTAACTAGCCTATTGCTGCTTACTGGAATATATGTTGACGGTGGGTTGAGTTTAGGAGGGGTTTTAACTAGCGAAATCGATTTTTTATTTGGGAAATTGGGCGAGGCCAGGTTGTTAATTCAAGATATACTTTTCATATTCGTTCAAGCAGATCTTCTTTTGGCTAACTCGGACCAAGTTCCATCCAGAAAGCTGACCTAATTGAAAGCAATGGTACTTATGATACATGTCTCACACATGTTTAAATGTACATGTAGATTTTTTTTTTAAATTATATGTTTATCTATTTAAAAATGAAATGATAAAACTTTTAGTTACTGTTTCTGCTTTAAAATTATGTATGGGGATCATACTAATTGGAACTGCAGGAATGGTCTGGCTCAGACAGAAATCTGGTCCTTGTGTTCCCTTTATGTTTAGTCTTTATGGATAGTCTTCATCTGAAATTTGAGGAATAAACACACAATTAGTTTCTGATAGCATAGTCTTGGATGACCTATGGTGCAAATCCTGTTCATGAGATGCCAGCCTATTACGACCTTAATTCTATGCCATGTTGGGGGCATGAAGGCATTTGCTGGCTTGACAAAGCTAGTGCTGGCCTGACTCAGTTTGTGCTGACCAGTTGTCTCATCTGAATATCTGTTGATCACAACGCATTACGCCAGCACATCAGCTATTAGCTAAGTTAACTGATGCCATGATCTTTTTTCTATTTAATTAATCTACCATGCTTCTGTTTTTTTTTTTTTCCTTTTTTAACATTGATGGTGACTAGCTTTGTTTGTTTCACCCATTTGTGATTTCATTTCACTGTTATATTGGTATCTTGAATTTTAGATGCTTGCTGAGAAGAGCATATGCACAGAAATTCCAAGCTGTACATTGTAAGTTCGCACACTCCTGTTGTTAATATCTTACTGGTGGTTTTTGGGTTCTTGCAACTGCTTATTAAATGTTCAATGTAGAAAGGAAATGCCGAATCTTGAATCACTTACTGATCATGCATGTACTTGTATTTTGTTTTCCAGTTATGTCCCAGATTTGGTTCTAGATGGGACATTGGTAAAGGTTGTTGAACCCATGTTTCGGGAGAAAATTTTTGAAGGCTATACTTTTGTTCTGGGATCATTAAATCTGGTGGATTTCTTGTTTCATTTTCCTTCTGTAATTTCTTCTCAAGAGATCTGGTGCTAATCCATACCTTTTTGGTTGCAGTACAAATTTAAGGGTATGTTCCAATCACTACTAGAACTAGTTGGAGCAAAATGTCTCAGTGCTGGTGAATTTTCTTCAAACAGCCAGGTACTTTATCTTGCGTATGCTTTTAATTCTATCTTATAATTTATTTGATGATAGTCTATTTAGCTGATAAGTGGAATCTATGCCGCTCATTAATTTGTATACATGGATACCTCAAGCTACTTCAAACTTCCTCGTGTTTGGTATTTGTCTTATTTATTGCCATATCTTCCCCTATCATGCATGTATCACAATGGAGTTATTAAATGTGAATTGATATTGCTGGCTCATCAATTTGGGTTATTCTGGTAGGAGAGCAAAATTCATGTAGTATTTCTTTTCTAAAAAATGAATTCTTTTGTCTGTTTAGTTGGTGTAAAGGTTCAGATGCCTGATACCTGCTTTATCTTTTTTCCTTCTTTCTTTGGAAAACCTGTCCCAGTTAGATCTCAGGAGTGTAAAGAACCTTTGGTTAGTTGAAATTCATTATGGTTTCGTAGTTTGGAATATCCTTTTTTTTGTCTCTTGTTTGCAATTAAAACAGTTTTAGAACTGGTAAAGCATACTACTGAGAAATAAGGAGTATATAATGTAATGGTATTTTTCTTTTTGTAATGCATGAATCATTATATTGATTTCTCTCTGAACTCCATTAGCATAGTTGGTGGACAGAATTATTTCCTGGTTCTCAATCCTGGCATTGAATTTGTCTTGGATGTTATAATGCTCATTAAGGGATTTTCTTAAATTACATTGATTTAACGGTTGATATCCGACTTATTGGGAAGTTCTTAGACTTCCACAGATGGGGAGAATAATCAGCTTTTCTTGGTTGTACCTGCTGAGTCAACAGGCGAATTCAGTCACTTGCGCGAGCTGTCTTCCTTGGTCAGGGTTATTGATGTAAAATTAGTTGTTGCCGTTCTATCTGGAAACCTGGATCTGACCATCTTTGAGCAACCTCCTTGTAAGTATTCATGTGCAATGACATTTAATCATTAAAAGGTTGGTATGTTTTTAAAAAGTTATATGAATGTTGATACACAGGCCATGCCATGCCATCCTAATCACATGTTCCATGCTGACCATCTTGCAGCATCGGGCTTGACCCAAATTGGAAATCCTTTTGTTGGGATGGTTGGGGCAGGATAAAAACAAAAATCTGACTGCTTGCTGCTTCTTTTCAACTAATGAAATTCAAGTAATATGAACACCATGCAGAAATTTTCTTGGTTTTGCTTTGTAGCATATTGATTATGGTAACATGATGTGGAGTTGTGGTACAATGGAAATTGAAAGCTTCCACAAACTAGGAGTTTTTCTGGTGAAATATCTCCTGATTGGTCATAACATCTAGTTGTGGACCGTAGGAAGCATCAAGGGTGAATAGGAGGGTGGGTAGTCATGTGAATAGGAATGCCTAGTGACTAAGAGATCAGATTATAGTAACCGAGTCAATAGGGAGTCATGGAGGCAAGAAGGGAGGCAGAAGGGAGGAAATTAAGAGGTCTGCCTAGATACTTTGGAATTTGCTATCTGGACTCAAAAGTTGGAAAACCTGCTTCTGCTGAGTTGCAATCTTGCAGATTTTGTTTTCAACGACATGATTGTAGTGAAATGAAGCCCCCTTCACTGGCTGATTGTATGAAATGATTGGATTATTGAAACCAAGTGAATGGGGGTGAGTGGTCGAAGTCTAACTAAATCAGGCAAGGAGCATTTCTACTAGTGAATTTTCTCCTAATGGTTGATTTGTTTGGTATTGGAATTTCACCTGTACGATTATAATCAAATGCTCTTATTTAAGCTCTCCTGAATCTGAGTTGGTTTTTAAGCTCACTTTGAAGCATTTAATGCAGATGTTGTTGCATCATCACATTCCACTGATGAAACTATAGTAGCAGCTTCTGATGTTGAGATGGATACTGCAACATCGGATCATGCTGATGCCACATCGAAACCTCAACTTGCCATCAACAGTGAATATGAAGATGTGGTCAAACGAAGGTTGGAAGATGGAAAAGGTGCCGGAAGGTGTGAAAACAGGGAGAGCGATATTGGTTCTCCTGCTATTGCTTCCTATGGTAAAGTTTCAGACTCCAGGAATGAGGATGTTGGACTTATTACAAGGACAGAGAAAGGTGATGAATCTGCTGTCGACAGACATGAAAATTCAGACATCATATATAGTCAAGATCTGATTGTACGGAATATCAGCACAACATATTCTCAAAGATCCACCACTGATGAAGTGTTCAACTTCAAATGTTTTAGAAAGGCAGGTTTCTTTATACGTTTGATAATACATGAACCAACAAGATATTTTCTTCTCGTTGGTAATTTTAGCAGAAGCATTTTTGTTATTTTACTCATTGATTTTAGCTAATGTTGCATCCATTGAATGACCATGTAGAAAGAGACTGTTTCGGGCAACAGCTTCAAGGACCTTATTCCATTTTCAAAAGATCCATACAAGTACGTACAAGCTATCTTCTCAGCATTCAGGTGATTCTAGTTCTTCTTGAGTCAACATGATGTGTTTTTCAGTGAGTCCGACTTTGGGAGCAAAGGAACATCGGAGTACATGAAGGAAGAGAAGAAGCGAAAGCAAATTGAAGCAATTGCGGAGGACTTGTTTAACAATGACAAGGTAAATTAGTGCAATTACTTGCAGCTATGGTGTTGACAAGGTCGTAAGGTTGCTTATTGTTTGTCTGTAGTATTTTATTATCTTGATAGTTATTTTCCAACAGGTGAGGAAACGTGCGGCTGCTGGTGCTTCTCTTTATTCTCTCTTTAATCACAAATGATGGTGGTAATATTTCTGATACATCACCTAGTGATAGAAGCTCTTTGGGCTGAATGGTATTAGCTTAAAGTCTAATACCTGGGGTTCAAACTAATGAAATCCTTTTTTTTCCTTTTCCACAAGGATGTTGTTTATAATGTCCTGGATCCGGTTTATAATTGACCGTTTATAATGTCTTTCTCATTTTGTTTTTGTGATAAAAAATGTAGTCTTTTTTGGATAACAGCCACCATTTCTGAGTTTTCTAGGAAAATAAAATTCTTGCTGCATATGAAGCAAGAGCAGAATTAGTATCACATCGATTGTGGAAGAAAGATTGAAGTGTCCATGACTATTTAATTACCCAAACTCAACCTCACATTGTTGGTGGGTGCAGAATTGAGGTGGTAGATGAGTCTATTACTATTAATTTTGACACATATTTTGGACCATGTTGTTCTAAGCTTATCAAGTTAAATGAGTCATGTTATGGCATTAATATGTTATTATATCAAGATGTTATATAAGTCTCAACTAAATGTCTATCCACATCTTTTTTTTTTTTTACCCTATGCATTTGGAAAGGCTGTGGTCTGCTGTCCTAAACTTGCAATTTTGGATTAAACAGGCAGTCAGAGAGAAATAAAGCATAAATGAACAAGATGTGAATCATATTATGAACAGTGGAAGCGAGAGATGAATCCATTAATGGTCGTATCGATGCATAATTAGGGGCTGTTAATAAAGCCATTAATGGCTGCTGGATTGCCGCTGCGGATTCTTTAGGAGTTTGGTCATTGTTAGGTGAGAATAAAGAAAATTGGAAACTGAGTAATTTGATGCAAAAATGAGGAAGATTTGTTTTTAATATAACCGTAGATCCTTGTATTTATCTTATGAGAGAGGGGTTCGATCACCGTTGGATGCCCAATAAGAGTAAAAAGGTGTTGGGTAACCTCACCAGAAGGGGGTTCGAACTTCCTGATTCTGTGGGAGTCGGTTCCCAGCTGGTTTCTATAAGAACGTTCGAAATTCAATGATATTGCACCAAAAAAAAAAAAAGGCCCCTTCAACCTCCCATTGACACCCACCCCCATTGGGTGATTATAAGAGCATCGAAATTAATTCAAGGATCTCGCCCCAGAAAAAGGAGCATTCGTGGTCCTTTGGCCACCAAATTGACACCCCGTAACCTTACCCGATAGGTGGTCGTTCACTGCTTTACACCGTTCCGGTCGGCTCACTACTGGTAATTGTAAGAACGTCGAAATTTCATGATTTTAACGGCAAAAACTTATTTTTGGTCCCTTCGTCATCGCAGTGGTAATACCGCGGTAACTGTCCACTCAAATTCCCTACAAGTCATCTCATTAATCACCAACCATGAAATATTTTCATGCTCCATTCATACTGCTCCTCCTAACATCAAATATCTCGTTGACTCTTTTTTTTTCTCCATTTAATTAACAATGCTATATCCACAAAGACACATTCTTTAACCAATTTTGCTGAATCAAGACTCGTTTGACAAACCCTAACGATCTGATCTTCCAGATGATTTTTGTACCAATTCTAATTCTCTTGTTCTTGCTACAACAGTAGAATAAAATAATTTTATTTTATTTTTCTATAAAAAACGATGATAACCAGTGACTTCCTGATAAAAAAGTCTAAGGAAAAAAAAAGCCTAAATTAAATTGACAGCACAAAAGATCGATTTCTCAAGCAGGGAAGCAGCAACAATCATCAATATTAATGCACAAGTCACACAAATAAGTTATTCGAAAACTACATGTGAGAAGAAGTTGAACAGTGACAGACAACAGTGCAGGATAAAAGAAAGGGAATTGTTTCAAAGCAAGGACAGTATCTAACCAAGTGAAATGGCTTGAAGCTATCTTTAAACCCTTGAGGATTCAAAAGCAACTGATATCACAAGATCTGTTCCCCTGGATAGAAATAAATGAGGCCTTTTTTGCAAGTAGCCACATCTAAGAAAGTTTTAATTGGTATCTAAACACACGAATGCCCAGGAGAAGAACCTCAACATGCATTAGGCCAAAAGCAACAGCATGACTCACTAACTGAACTGCTACTCCACCTCCGCCAAATAATCATCGATTTCAGCCGGTGTTAGTACTCTGCAAATAACAAGTGCATGATAAATGTGATCATGTAACTACATATGAACAAGGCTACAACATCTTTTAACAGAGGTGAAGATGCAATGGTTGATGATAATGTCCTACACCGAAACCATATAACCATGAACTGCTGAAGCAAATACTACTGTTTGATGATAATGTCGAGTAGCTCTTTGTCAAATGAATGATGCAAACCAAAATCATTTGGGTTCTTCAATGTGGCAGTTGCAAGCATGAAAATGATACTAAAAAACTATTTATTTAAAAAAAAAAATAAAAAGCAATCATTTGATTTTGTAGCTGGGCAGTCAATTTAACCATGATGGATCAAAAGTAACTACGCTAGAGCTTAACAAGCACCTGAATTTTCGGTCAGCACCTATTATTCCAATCTCGATGTTCTTGCCAGAAATCTGCCCTTGAAACCTAAAGGTTTATGAAACAATTTACATTACATCATGATATATACTACACTCAAAGTGGCAATGCAAAAGTAAAATAAAATACCCTTCTTTTAGAGTCAATATGGCAGTGTGAACAGCATCATCAAGCTCCATATCCTCAGTGTACCTGAAAGGATCAAAACAACATCATCCAGTAAGCAAATAAAGAAAAACATGCTAAAAGAGGAGATCCTACTCTCTAGAAAAAGACAAAGTTGAAGAATGAATTGTACACAATCATCATGCATCTTCCAACAGAAAACCAATAATACTCGTTCTAACAATCTCAACGATTTCCCTGTCAGTCGGCAAATGCCAACACAAACAGAACTTTATCATGCCAAAAAAGGTATCAACATGAACCATGTAAACCTTGTTCGAGGTGCCAACACATAACTAGGTGAAGTTTTGGCACAAGCTTCCAACTGGTACACCATGCTCGAGGGTTCTCTCATGCTCTAGGGATTCAATTATTGTCCATCTGATATTTTTGTGTTCTGTAGTTGAGCATTGCCTCCCATATGAAAATTTGCCATACATATATCATACATAACCTTCCCAAGTCATGGAAAATATTACACGTTTTCCATTGTCACATTAGCTTAAACCCAAAAAATGTGGGTAAAATCAAGGTATTCAATTTTGAATAATACCGCTTGTATCGGGCGGTATGTACCGATCCATCAATAGACCAGTACACAGACCGCCCATTACCAAGCGATTATATATATATATATATATATATATATATATATATATATATATATATATATATATATATATATATATATATATATATATATATATATATATATATAT